TTTCTTTCTTTCTTTCTTTCTTTCTCTCTCTCTCTCTCTTTCTTTTCATTTTCTTTTTAAGACAAGACTCTCACTAAATTACACAGGTTGGCCTTGAACTTGTGATTCTCTGCATCAGCTATCCAACTAGCTGGGTCATAGGCCTGTCAGGGTCACTGACTTTTTGGTTTAATGGTTGCATGCTGGTACTTTTTTTCTTTGCTTGTTGCTGTGAGCAACTAATTAACAAGAAGCAGCTTACGGGACAGCAGTTCTAGGGAATACAACTGTTGGAGGGGGGGGGCTTGGGAGCAGGACCATGATGCAGCTGCCGCTGTGTGCCCACAGTCAGGAAGTGAGGCCAGGCTAAGAAACCTGAAGCGCCACACCAAATGACCCACTTTCTCCAGTTAGGCCCTATACCAAGGCCTGTTTTTAGCTAGGAACCAAGTGTTCTGTTGGACACATTTAATATTAAATCACATTGGGATATTTTGTATGCATTTCATTGTCCCCGATTATTATAAAATGTTAAGGTCTAAAGTTCCTAGTATTTCACAAGTATTAGGTATCAGGGATATTAGCAAAAATGTAATTAAGTAAAGGTGACAGTAAGTACCAAATAATGTAACTGCTACATGGAGATATGAACTGAGAACTAATCAGATGGATCATTTTGCAATGTAAAATAAAATTTTAAAACATTTTTTCAGTATCAGACTTTATAAATCCATTTTGGTTTGCACTAAATTGCTCTTTTCATTTGCTTTGTAGGTGTTTGTGAGTTGTAATTTTTGTGGCAAGTCAATCTCCTACAGCTGCTCCTCAGTGCCTCACCAGGGCAGAGGCTTTAGTCAGTATGGTGTGAGTGGCTCACCAACAAAATCCAAAGTCACAAGCTGCCCTGGATGTCGAAAACCCCTTCCTCGATGTGCACTTTGCCTCATTAATATGGGAACGCCTGTTTCTAGCTGTCCTGGTATGACATAATTGCACAAAATGTTTGTCTGAACTCATTTTCCTACATAATTGAATTATTGTTGCTAATAAAATATATGTTAATGATTATTATTTTTAAGAAAAGGCACTTTACTGATGGGCTTGACTTTTTTTTATTACCTCTTTAATTTATAAAGTCTGTACATTAAAAGTGAAAAATCTATGTTTATGGTGACTCAAGTAATCTCATAGATGCTGGCAATTTAAAATTGATGATTAAGGCTTAAATATGACTGATTTTTATAATTAAACCATTGTCATGGCTTTTACCAGTATTTCAGATTTGATGTTTAAAATTACCTGTGCTCACAGCTATTCACAAATGCTTTTTGATAGTCTCATAATCCTATCCCATTCCTTCTTCCTTCACCCTCCCTTCTAATGCATGGACTATTAGCCCAGAAACCAGGACCCTTTGGTTCTCAGTTTTAGTCTTGCATCTGCTATTTTGTCAGTTATATAGTAAGTAGATGTGGAGTTTTGTTGTTGTTTGTTTGTTGAGAGGGGTTCTCACTATGTAGGCCATGCTGGCCTTGAAATGAGAGAGATCTGCCTGCTTGTGTCTCCTAAGTACTACATTAAAAAATATGCCACCATTCCGGGGCCAATGTATGTTTTTTTAATGATTATTAAAATTATTATTATTACTATTATTTTTTAATCTTTACAGTAAACATGGGGATGCTTTTTGAAAACAGCAAATAATGGAATATAATTCCAGTTATATAACATGAAAATGATACTAATGTCAAAAGTCTTCATCAAAAACATTTTGGCTTGGGCTGGACATGGTGGAGGACACCTTTAATCACAGCGTTCAGGAAACAGGCAGGCAGGCAGATCTTTGTGAGTTCACATCCTGTGTAGTCTAGACAGACAGCTCCAGGGCATCAGAGCTGCCTACATAAAGAAACCCTGTCTTAAACATATAAAAAGTTGTATTTGGCTACTTGGTACACTGGCGTAATGAAGAAGTGGCCATTGTGCCTTTTTCCTTCATGTATAATGTTTTTCTATATACATCTTAGTATTTATGACAGTGTCTCACTATGATGCCCTGGCTGGCTGGCCTAGAACTTATGACCCTGTGCCTCAACTTTTAAAATACTGGTATTAGAGGTGTACATAATCACACCCCTAGGGTTTGGTTTAAATTTGAATTAAGGGTTTTTATGCTGATCAATTTTTATATAGCCTAGATTATACCAAAAGTGCAACAATTTAGAGCATCTACTACAATAAAAATTAAACAAATAAAATATATCTGTGAAAACCGAGATATGTAAAATTAGTTATGTTTAGTACAGCCTTTGGGCCTAAGTCTCAGGAAGTTATAGTGAATATTTGCCTTCTGTTGTCACTATAGTGCATTTCATTTTTTATTACATATTAACTTTTTGGTTCTTTCTAGTTTTGAAATATGTATATATATATGTATATACATATATAAAGATAATAATCTAGAATTGAAAAATATTAAATCATAAATAAGTTCAAGCTTTTGCAGAGATTAATATAATAAATGCTGATTATGGTTTATTACATCATAATATTTGTTACAGAAATTTCTCCTATATTTGGTTCTGCATGTAATACAAGTTTATTCACTTATTTGCATATTATGACAAGGCTGATGCACTAAGCTGAGTGAGTCCAGTAGCTTTTTAGAGCTCATGATGAACAGTATGTACAGAACATGTAGAACTAATATAGAGTAAGAAAGAAGGGATAATATCTTTTGAGGAGTAAGGAGTGACCCACAAATTCTGTGTCTGTCATTCCAAAATCTTTAGAAAGATCTGCAATTCCAGAGGATTTTTTGTTGGTTTATAATGGCGAATCAATCCCACACCAGTTATGTTTTAAAGGGGATATTTATTTTGGGGGGTAAAACTTACATACACACAAACCATCAGGAAAGGAGCCTAGTCGCTGAGCAGGAGCCGGAACCAAGAGGCCGAGGCGAGGCTTGCTGCTCTTTTTAAAAGAAAAATATACCACGCCCCAGTGGGCTGGTATTTCAGCGCTATTGGCTGAAGGAGCAGAAGGTACTCCCGCAGCAGGTTTATTTTTTTTTCGAGATTGGTTTTTCAGTGTAACTGAGTGTTGCAGCTCTGGAGGGAACAGTATCCTGACATGTTGGGAAGTCAGGCATGAGGCTGGGGTGCGGTGGGAGATGGTCTCTCCACAGGATGTAGTAATCCTGCTCCTCTCTTGAGAGAGAGTGGGTACAGCTGAGCTCTGCTCTCTTCTCCCTAAGGGAATGGCCTAGCAGTTTCCATTTCTTCTTCTGCTCTGCTTCTTCTGCTTTTCTTCTCAGCCCCTTCCCCCCTAAGGGAATGTCTTGGCAAAACTTCTGTTTAGGTGAAAGAAGGTCTTCACCTAAAACTCCTTTTTTTTTTTTTTTTGAGACGGTTTCTGGAACTCACTTTGTAAATCAGGCTGGCCTTGAATTCACAGAGGTCCACCTGCCTATGCCTCCCAAGTGCTGGGATTAAAGGCATGCTCTACCACTGCTCAGCCATCCAAAACTCTTTTAAGAAAGAGATTTATTTGGGAAGAAGTCCAAGAGAGTAGCCTGTTGTAGACTGTCCCCTCTGTAAGTTAGAAGGTAAAAATAAAGAAGTTGGAGAGGTGGCTCAGCAGTTTAGAGCACAGGGATGCTGTTCTAGAGGACCCTGGTTTGATTCTAAGCTACCTTATGATGGCTCACAACCTTCTGTAACTTCAGTCCCAAGGATCCAACCCTAGTTCCCTCTCTTTTGGTTTCTTTGTCTGGCTGTCCTGGAAGTAGCTCTATAAACCAGGCTGGCTTCGAACTCACAGAGATCTGCCTGCTTCTGCCTTTCAAGTGCTAGGACTAAAAGCGTGTGCCACCACCACCTGGTCCAGTGCCCTTTTGACCACCTCAGACACTACACACACACACACACACACACACACACACACACACACACACACACAC